CAATAGAACATAATATCCTCCTTACAGGTTTCCACCGGCAAGGCTACAATCTTACCATCATGTGTATAAACATGTAAAAAGCCTTACTTTAAACATTAACAAATTTCAATTATACTTGGCTTACTGTTAAAATTCACATACAGATTAGACTTTTCTCAATAAATCTACAAAATAAAGCTAGAAATAAAGAACTTTGAGTACGTGTGACATCTGTATCTGAGAGCTGCCTCAACTTTGAAGTATTTGTAAATTATGTCAGATCTTTTGAAAAGTAGCAAAAATTTCCCTTTAAGACCTGCTTTCAATAAGTGTTGCTTACAAAGACAGAATACCAATATAATAACTAAAAAGCAGGTCCAAGTATTTTTGTGAATAGGACAAACTGTTCATCTGTGACAGGACTAGATATGGAATTACAACAGTAATTCCAGCAAAGCAGCAGGAATGTTTGTATTTCTCATCTGACATTAAAAGCAGCGTGCTCTATGTAGGCCTCATTTGTAAACCTCCACGAATTTAATCAAAGACATCAGAGTTTCATCCAAAGGAAGAGCAAACACATTCTGAGCTACTTAGCTTTATTTCTCTGTGAAAGAAAAAGAAAGAGAACGACTGAAAATTCAGTAAATACAGGACTTCCATTTAATTAGAAGGACTTAAAAATAAATCAAAACATATAAAACAACAAAGCTGCTACCCTGGAGGATGCACTGTACATCACAGTGACTCTGGCTCACATCCACAGATTTTTACATTCTTTTATTACTCAGTTTTTTGCACGATCTTGGACATAAAGTATGCAAATTATCCCTGTGATTTTTCTTTTTTTAATTTGGCAAGAAATTATAAAATATAATTTCAAATAAATTTTTAGAGTTTTGATTTGTGTTTTAATAAAATAAGGGGGTAAGGGAACTTTTATAATACGTAAGATTTTCCTGAACTGTAAGAAATCAGAGGAACTATAATGTTTTAAGCAGTGGTATTTCTCTGGTTGCCCCTATTCCTGAGTATTTAAATAAGGACTGAAATATCAACAGCTTAAAAGTAAAATTAAAATGTGAAAGCCCTATATTTTTTCCTCTTTTTTTCCTACAATCTAGGAATATCTGGCTTTTTTCATGTATGAAGGTAAAAACAGAAGACTTTAAGTTTTGACAAATATAAGATAAAAGAAAATTAAATAAAGCTAATCAAAATGTAAATAGATAATACCTACTTATTTTTTAATAAATTAATCTCATTCAACTCCAAAAATACTACCTAGTAGAAAAAATGGTTTTCATGTTAAATAGACCAAAAAAGATTAAATACCTGGTAAAAAATGTATTCAACTACTATAGGTTCTACCTTACCAAAATAAATCAAGTGATTTCACATATTTAAATAAAAAGCTAGGGTCCTTAACTGTTAATCAGAGCTATTTGTAAGCAAACAAAGCATGTTTTATTGAATAGCCCTTGTGTCCAGACAAACAATGCATTTATTGAAATTAATACATACCAAAAATTTCTGAAAGCAAATATTTTCTTTTTAATAAGTGACAAGTACTGCATTTTCAGCAGATATGAGGACTGCCTACAATAATCATACCAATTAAATAATTCACATAATTGCCTGGTTCAAGGCAGTATTTTATTTAATATACTGCTCTTTAGTGCCTGTGATTATGAGAGAAATTTTCCTGGACTTTCTGGCACATGCAGATTCCTTTTCTTTATTTCTATGATCCTGTCAGTTACTGGTATATTGATATCACACTGTCTCTAAAGATATTAATCCAGCAAGAAATAATTTTTGTAGAAAATACTGACTTATTTTTACTGTTTTGATCTGATTAAAATATTTTATTCAGAAAAATATATTTTATAGTAAAGAAGGCTTGATACTGACTTAAAAGAAAATTCAATGGGCATTCCATTAATGTGTGGAAGAAATTCTTGGAATTCTGTAATAATTTGGCAGAAAACTGGTGTTTTTCATCTTCTGTTACTGTCTCTTAACTCTATGAAGAGCAATATACAGATTAAAAAATGTTAATCTGAGACTTTTCAGAAATACTTACGCCAGTGTTTAAATTTTATGAATTAGTTCTCTGGAGATGCTAATGATTTCCCTTCATTTTGAACAGCTGAACTATTTTGTTCTAAGTAACAAAGCTCAAGCTGTAAAAATTACTATCTGGCATGGGCTGAGGTAGTCTGTCTCCCTGATTAATTATTAGTCAATATTTATGCATTTCCTTCATAATTTCTTTCTTCAATATACAGTTTAGATTTCTCTAGGAAATTTTAATGAACAGCTCTTTAAAATATGTATATGCTCTAAACAATTAGTAAAACCTCAGAGCAATCTTCCCATCTGAATCTATCTCATTACTTTCTTGTAGGGAAAAAGAAAGAAAAAAATGTCAAGCTGAGAGACTGGGTAGAGGACTTGATAATATAAATTTTGTGATGAAATTGTGATGAGAGTTACATGTACTACATAATCTTACAATGACTCTTTAGCAGTTGTTTCACCTTTAAAGCTAGGTGTTAATTTATAGATTTCAATATGCTATAAATGATAATGGGATGTTGAAGAAGAAATTTCTGTAATGTGCAATCATACCCTGTGTGTTCATTTTCATATATTTTAGGTGACAACCCTTTTTTAAAGACCTGGTCTCTTTACCTTTGTAATTCTACAGCTCAGAACTCTGTCCTCTCCTCCATGTTATGGTTTTTCTTCTCCTCCATTTTATGCTGGCTTTTCTTAGGTATCACGTCTATATTTGACAACCACACCAAAAAAAGACAGAAAGCCTTATTTTGTCAGCCCAACTGCCTGTCACCGCCACTTTCTTGTTTCTAGGGGAATAAAAAAATTTAAAAAGAAATTAAAAAAAAAAAAGGGGGTTTCTGTCTGCCAGACTCTGAAGCTTGCAGTTTGTAAATTCTGTGGTATTAATTTTTATGTATCAGGCCAGAGATAGTATTTCAGACTGTATTCCAAAACATTCCATGCTCATTCTGCACAGTGTCATGAGGCCTAATATTGTACATGAGAGTTAGAACTGAGAGCCTGATCCTGCAGCCAGTATGATTTTCCTCTTTACCTTAGTTTGGGCACAATTAAGACCTAGGTATATAAATGTGTGTTTTTATAACACAGTGGCCAGACAACTCACAGGAGGCAGGAAACTGGAGGCAGAATCTTTTGATAGCCTGCATCCATACTGAAGGAGATGCATGCACTGGCTGGGTTTGCAAAAAATGTTAATTAATTAATATCACAAAAATATTAAAATCACAAAAAAATTAAAAAGAAAAGAAGTTGCTGGGTGGTCTCAAATGTAGCATGATTCAAATAAACACAAAAAGGTGTTGTGGTGAGATGTGATAAAGTCTAATCTTACCATCTGTGCTAGGACAAAGCTGGAACTGGCCTCCAGAGCTGGACCAAGCATTTAGATGGCGGATTGTAATTAGTGAGAGTGATGGATACAAAATTCCAAACAGCTTTTTAGTTAAATCAGCTACCAGTCAATTACCATGAAAGTTCAGAAGAAATGAAATTTTTTGGTCATTTTGACTTGTACAGATATTATTTTAGAATCATGAATCTGCCAAAGGCCTTTATATTTTTTAGGCTGAGTAGCTTTCAGCACTGCATTTCTCTTTAAAAAATGTCCAGCAGAAATGTTTGCTCGATAAAGACTGCCAGGTAACACAGTAACGTTCTTGACCATTCAGAATAGACACACACAAAGAAAAAAAATGAGATCTGAAACATTTTCTCTACATGAACTCCAAAGGTCATATACATCATGATTAATGATTCATGTAACACACTAAGGCCTTTACCTTTCCTGACTACATCAGTACTGATTTGGTCCTTAGCTGAGATATAACCACACAATATTGCATTGCATACTTTTAAGTTACTTAAGTAAACTTTAGCATTTTTGAGGATTATAGCAATGTTTCAATACTTAAAGAATAAAATGCTAACATAAGAGGTTAATACCTTGTGAAGGATTTATTAAATTTTCATGGAAATGTTTTAAGACAGCAGTTGTTCACCTTTCCTAAATCACCACAAATTTTCTATCTGTAACTATTTTTTGGTAAATATCAAACCCTTTTGCCAAAATACAACAGCAATCCTGGCTAGAAAATTACTTTAGGAAAGAAAGGAATTAGTTTAGTAGTAAGCTCACGTTGCAGCTGGCCATAACCACAGGTAAAAATCATGGTTTGATACACAAATCTGTAACTGTGGGGAGAGGGGGGAATATCTGATGATACACATACATGTTTCAGAAGCAAAATAACATTCTTTCCTGGAAGAGTGGTTAAGCATTGGAACAGGCTCCCCAGGGAGGTGATGGAGTCACCATCCCAGGAAAAGTCAAAAAACCGAGTGGATTGTGGCGCTCTGCTATGTTTGGGTGGCTACGGGGCTATCCAGTCGAAGGTTGGACGATCCCGAACGCCTTTTCCAGCCTCGATGGTTCTGATTCTCTATAACGAAGGGATAAGGCTCTGTTCCTGAGGATCTGAGGTTGCCGGCAAGACATTTTTGGGCTGTAAAGCTTCACACCAACACATGCACGCTAGGCATCTATCGAGACACAAGCCTTTAGAGATTTCAAGAGACACGAGCACCTTTAAGATTCATTAAGAGCCAATTACACCCCAAAACACGCCCTCGTGGCGCATCTCCCACGGAAACAGCACCACCACCCACTCCGGACCGCAAGGAGCGGCACTCTGGACACGCGTGGAGAGGACAGCGGCGGAGCTGGGTGGGGCAGGGGAGCGGGGGGAGGCGCGGCCGGACCACCGGCACAGGCGGCACCACCAGCGGGACCAAGAGCAGCAGCAGGGGCATCACCGGCACCGGCGGCACCGGCATCAGCAGCAGCATCAGCATCAGCATCACCGGCGGCGGCGGTAGGAAATATGAACCACTTCCCGCGATCAGCTGCGCGCGCGTCACGTGGGCGCGTGTCGAAGGTCACGGCGCCCACAATGGAGCTGTCGCCGTACGCGCAGGGCGGGTGGCGGCTGCTGGGCGACCCCCGCCGCTTCCCCCGCCGCCCGTTCGCCGCCCTCCTCCGCGCCGCCTTCCGCAGCCTCCTGGATCACCCGCAGGCCGGGCTGGGTAAGGCGCGGCGCGCTGGGGGGTGCGGGCCGCGCCGCTCCGCGGAGCGCGGGGCTCCGTCCGCCCCCGCGCAGGCACGCGCGCGTCCGCTGCCCGCGCACACCCGCGGAGCGGCTCCCGCCCGCGGGCGGCTCCAGGGTGCCGCTGCGCGGGGTGTCATCGCCAATGCTCGCCCGCTGTGTAAAGCTCCGGGCTGTCCGAGATAAGGGGCGCGGGTCGGGAAGGGTCCCCCCGCGCGTTCGTGTCCGCGGGGTGGGCTGGGCTGAGGAGGCGGTGCTCCCTCGCTGCGACCCTGCGGGGGCTTTCGCGCGTGGACACGTCCTGCGGCGACCCCGGCACGAGGGTGCGCGGCCGTGCCATTAATCTGGCGGTGTTAATGACTCCTCCGCGGACGGAGGGAGCTGCCGGCGCCGGGCGGTCCCGGTGCCCCTCCGGGCCGGTGGCCCCAGCCCCGCTTCTCCCATTAAGGGGCTGCTGAGGATCGCGGACGGGGCTCGCAGGGGAAATTGAGGTTTTCCTTCTTTCTTCTTTTTCTTTTTTTTTTTTTCCCTACTTTTTTTCTCTTTTTTTTTTCTTTTCTTTTTTTTTTTTTTTTTTTTTTTTTTTCTTTTCTAACGGGAAGGAGATGTAGAGGCGGCGGGGCGCTCAGCGCCGCGCAGCCCCGCCTGCCTGGTACGGCTTGCCCCAGCCAGTGCTTCAGCCCTCACCTTCTCCTCCGCCTCCTCACACCTTGCCTTCTTGTTCTGTCCTTTCGCTCTGAAACACCACATGTGTTTCATTTTGACGTTTTTGTGGGAAAGATAGCGTTCAAAGGGTGAGCAGCAGCCTTTGGTACCGTGTGCTGGGGTTTGGCAAATAAGTGTGTCATAAGCAATTCATTTATTTTAGACGATCCAGACCTGAAAGATATTGACCCTACAATATTAAAACATTGCCATGCTGCGGCTGCAACGTGTATTCTGGAGGCAGGGAAGCAGAAAGCTGACATATCTGCTATAAGGTACTCATACTTGGAAGCTGCACCATTTTTTAGAGGTTGTTACTTAAAAGTGTACTGCTGAGTTAATCTTAACAGAAAACTAATAAATTCTTTTTCCCTGTAGCACGTGCCTAGAAGACTGCAAACTGGATAAAGAGAGAATAGAACAATTTTGCACCGAATATCAGGTTTTTAAACCAACTTTAGCATATTAATTTTTCTTCTTTCATAGGAATTTATTGAACCTAGTAATTTTTTTTTTCTCTTGCTTCAGAAAAACAAGGATGCATTGGAAATCCTATTGGGAAGGTAGGTCAATCACTCAGCAGAGATATGGTTTCACTTACAGTTAGTTTGAAACTGTCCTGGAAGACACTTCTGCATACTTTAGGTGATTAAAGTAAGTAATATTGTGCCATTAAAAAATAAAGTGCATTTTAAACAAACTCTAGAAAACAGCTATTGAAACTTTTCTTCATTTGGAATTCTACTCTAAAATAACCTTTTAGGACATCCCAAGAAGCGTTACCAGGATCATGAAAGTTCTTTATTGATGGACAGCTTGAGAAAATTACCTTTTCTTTTAGCATAGGGGCCTATAACTGTTGTGTCTTTCAGCATAGGCAGATCTCCTCTCCATATAACTGATGTGTCTTGGCGCTTGGAATATCAGATCAAGGTAATTTTAACAGATCAAGATGTTTCTTTAGACTGTTTTAATGCTGAGACCTGGCTTTTTTACATGTTCTTTGTTTTTAATTTAGAACAATCAACTTCATAAAACTTATCAGCCTTCCTATTTGGTGACCTTAAACGTAGAGGTACTGTACTCTCAGCACCCTCAAAGGAAAAAATGCAATTTCAAGATATTTTTAAAATACAATAGACATTGCTGTTTCTTTGTTGTTTTTTTTTTCCTTCAGAACAGTGATTCAGGATCACAGCCAGATGTTAGTTTTAGTTGTACAATGGACCAATTACAGGTACTTGTTTCCTTCATCTTTCTGTGCTTAGCCCCAGTTGTGGATGTACATGTTTTTAACAAATTGCCAATCAAAATGAAATCATATACACTATTATTAGAAAAAAAAAAAAAAAAGATCCAATACTGAGAGGATAAGAGAATTTTCCATAGAAGTTATCCAAGTGTATTTTTACTGTCTTTTCAAATAAAGTTGGAAAGTAACTGAATTTAGTTGCGTGGGGAGTGTTTTACATACGTGCATAAATATTTTGTCTGTTTTCATAACTGTAATCCATATGTATATGTGGGAGGAAACTCGTCATTTTCTGAAACTCTGATTTCCCGTGCTTCAGAGAAATGATTAAAGAAGCTGGTTCAGTGATTTAAATGTGTCATGATTAAAAATAGGGAAGGAACTGAAGGCTCTTCAGTGGTGTTAATGACATGTAAGAAATGTCCTGAAACAAACGTTGATCTTTGTTTAGCGATTTAAATGTGTAACTGAACAATAGAGGTATTGTAATGCTTGGAAGTGACCAAACTCTGGAGGATCGGGAAGAGTGCTTGGTGGGAGAGAAAAGCAAGATATTAAAACTTAAGGTTTACACCTCCTCTCTATAAGTGTGTCTCAAAAGCTGTCCTTTTGTCAATAATAAGTGTTTCTAGTCGGTTTGCTGGCATAGTAAATCTGATGTGCTTTGGCTGGAGAATGGTCCTAGTGCAAAATTGCACTCAAAATATTTTCAGTGTTTTAGAAATCCAGGTAGTACTTCAAAGCCAGAAGCAAATGTCAGCATTAGCCATTGTGGCAATACCAGTAAAAGCTATTTGTAAATGATAATGATCTATTTTAGGAGAAAATACATTTTAAAAAGTGTTTTCCTTCAGTTTCCACTTTTCTGACTACTTTGTAAAATACAGAGCTATTTAATTATTTGCTTGCATTGTTCATCAGTTGCAACACTTCTTTGTACTACAAGGTGCTGGTTTCACTTGAGTGTCTGTTTTAAAAAAATACTCTGTTCTTCTAGCTGAACTTTAAAAAATATGCTTATTCTAAGACTCTATTTCATCTCTTAGGACTTAGTGGGAAAGCTAAAAGATGCTGCAAAAAGTCTAGAACGAGCAACTCAGATGTGATTGAAGGAAGGTGTCAGCCTGCTGAAGCACTCTCCTTCCTAAGTGTCTCCTAAATGACAAATGTCTTTCATCTCTTGATGCAAACTGGGGTTTAAGTCCTTGGATGTGAATTAAGTGAATTTTTTACGTCTGCACTGGGTATTCCCTGCTCATGTAATTTTTTTTTTATTAACTCCTGTTAAATATTTGCTGAACTGTTGTGTCATCAAAGTATTCCTTCTGTCTTATTTTGTATATTTTTACAACTGTCACTGCTTATTTTTCTCTGTGATCTAATAAAGGTTTATTCGCGCCTGTTGTGCAATTTCTATGGATGAATTAGCCGTACCTAAAAGTGAGGTGCTAAACGTTAGATCAGCTCGGTGAGGCAAAAGCGCCTGCTTCCCGTGCCGCGGCTACGGCGCGTTTGCTAAATCGCCCGCCGCGCTTTGTCATTTCCAGCCGATCTTACATCTCTCCTACGAGGAAAAGTCGGACCCCGGCGCGGGGGGCAGGAAAGGATTCGGTTGAGTCTTGTGGAGCCGGGGCGCCTGGCGGAAAGCCGGCAGAGTCCGCGGAATGGAGCGGAGGCGGGTGGCGGCTCCGGCTGGACGGCGCGGCTGCTCCAGCGTCTCCCGCTCGCCTTGGCAGCGCCGCTCTCCGCTCGCTCCCGCCCGCAGGTGCGGAGGGGCTCCGAGGCGCGGTCCGGCCGCACCTGCCGCCGAGGGAGAGCGGCCCCGCGGAGGATGCGCGGCGGCGGCCGGTCCCTCACAGCGGAGCAGGGTTTTTCCTCTCCGCTCCTCGGCGCCCGAGCGGCGGGCGGCGTCTCGTCCTCGCCGGAGGCGAGCACCGCGAGGGTTTCCCCCGTTCCCTCCCTCCCGCGCTGGGGCTCCCCGTCCCGCCCGCGGGATGCGGGGACACCGCGGGTCCCCGCGACAGCCGCTCCCGCCGCCGCTCGGGGCGGAAAAGCGCCCGCGCGGCCCTCGAGGGGACGCGCCGCCTCGACGCCGGCGGCTCCGCGCGGCCCCGAGGCCGCGGAGCGGATCCCCGCGGGGTCCCCCCGCGGCGGGACGGGGCGTGCGGGGCGGCCGGGGGTGGGAGCGCGCAACAAGTGCGCGGAGGGAGGCGAGGGCTGCGCGGGCAGGGTGCCGGGCGGCGTGTGGGGCCGGAGGGCTGCGGGCCGCGGGGCTGCGGCGCGGGGAGGATGGAGAGGGCAGCGCCGGGCAGGGCGGGGGCGCGGCGGCTGAAGGGGAGCCGCGGCGCGGGCGGAGGGAGCGCGGAGAAGGAGGGCGGGAGGCACTGGGGCTGCGGCGGGCGGGAGCCGCGGAGCGGGGCCGGGGGTCGGGGCGGGCGGTGAGGAAAAGGAGGAAAAGGAGGCATCGGCGGCGCGCGGGCGAGCGCGTGCAGGGCCGGGGGGAGGGGAGGGAGGCGGAGGGGGAGGAGGCGGCCGGGTTGCGGGATTGGGTCACGGGGAGGCTGCCGGGCCCCGGCGGCAGCGCCGCTAATTCCCAGGCCGCCCTTAAGGAATGAGGCGCCCCACGTGACGCTGGCGGGGCGGGCGAACTCCGAGCCATTTTGGGGACGGTGTCAGTTTCCACTGTGTGCCTTCAGCGTTGCATTCTTCCCTCCTCCGCCCTCCTCCCGCCCGCCCGCCCTCCTTCCCTCCCCGGGTCCCCGCCACCAACTATGAAATAACAACAACAATAATACTCGTAATAATAACAATAATAATAAAAGAAGGAACGCGAGAGAGGCCGCGAGGCGGAGCGGGGGGCAGAGGGAGAGACAATGGGCTGGTGGAGAGAGGACCCATCCGGACCGGGGAGACTGTGCGCTCGCAGCGCCTGAGCCGCCCGGGCGGCCAACTCGGAGGGAGCGAGAGAGCGAGGGAGCGAGCGAGAAGGGCCCGCGAGGAGCGGAGGAGACCCGGGCGTTCTGTAACTAAAATGAGCGGAGCGCAGCGGCGGCGGCGGCAATAAGCTTATTGCAATTGACAGCGTCTGCAGTTCATTTCAAGATGGCCGCTTGGCTCACATTCATTTTCTGCTGAACGACTTTTAACTTTCATTGTCTTTTTTGGCCGCTCCGATCATCACCAACCGGCTCCGTTTTCCGGGTACGTATGAAGCGAGGTGTCGCCTTACCAAGGGCGGGGGGCGAAGGGGGCTCGGCGGCGGTTTTCGGCCGGTTTGGGGGCTGCAAAGGGGCGCCTAGGTGTCCCCCGAGCTCTCCGTATGGGAAAAGCGCTGACAGGCTGCTCTAGCCACACACACACATACAGACACGCAGCAGCAGCAGCCTGTGCACTCGCTCGCGTTACGCACCCACATTTGCAAATTTTAGTTCCTTTCTTTCTCCAGACGCCCCCTAAAACCTTTCTGTGCACATGGCCCCCGAGGAGAATATTTATATTTCCCGACCCTGCTGCCAGCCCGGCCCGAGCGCCCTTTGTTTAAAGGCAGATTTTGATTAAACAGGGACGTTCGTGAAATCTGGAGCTGCCTGGGTCAAGTGATTTCAGTCCTCCCCGAAAGAAATGTGTCTGGGGGGGGTTAAAATGTCAGATAATGCACCCATTTTATAGAGACGGAGCCAGTGGGGGGTAGCGATCCTCCTGGGGGGGTTGTTAGGCGCCGGGGCACCCAGCAGAAAATGTTATTAACTTAAGTTGGACAAGTACTTCTGTGAAATTGGATGGGTTGTAAGATGGCGGTTCCCAGTTGTTTCCAATGTCTCCTCTTACATTTCTGCTCTAAATGCTGAACTTTAGGGGTTTGTGCCTACTGGGAGAGGCAAGGGGTGGTCAACGGCGAGAAATAACTTTTTTGGGGGGCAAGGGTAGCACTTTTAATGCGGTCTTGGGGAGCTGGGGCGAGCGGTTTGCTGGAGCCTTTGGAGCAAAGGTGATGTGTCTGCGGGACGCGGAGGGGGGGTGGTGTGTGTGAATTTCTTTTCTCTGGTTGGTATTTTTTTTTTTACCCTGAGCCCGGGAAGGGTAAATCTACATGGAATCCTTTGTCAGATCTTAAAGATGTCACGAGTGGGCTCCTCGTGCTGCTTATGGGCAGCACTTGAAAGTTGCTGGTGTTATGTTTTTATAATTGAATGGCCTTGGCAATATATAAAGCGGGATGTTTCTGTGTGTCTGCTGTAAACATTTGCAAATAATCAGGTGAAAATAAGCAGGAAAAAAAATCGCATTTCCATAAAAGTGAGGCAGTAACTTTTCAGCCTCTAAAAACTTTGATTCACTCCTCCACTCTCCAGGAAAGTCGAAGAAAACCTGGGCATGTGTGCCCATTTGCAAGCTTGTCGCTAAAAGAATTTTTTTGCGTAGTCTGTAGTGGTGAGAGCAGCTTCTGTAATGGGACTGTCCCTAAGACCAGGGACGTTCAGTACAGTCCAGTAAAACTACTTTGAGTGACTCTGTGCAGCCCGTCCTGGAAACTGAGACTTGTGTTGCACTTTGCCAGAGACACGAAGTCTTGACCTACCTGGTCGCTTAGATATTACAAAATTAACATTTTGCTGTATTTTTTAAAGTAGATGGATTGTGTCTTATGCCTAGTCCCAGGGAGGCGATTTAAGAGCCTGGGGTCCTTTTGCACTCTGTTGCCAATATTCAGGTCTTCTCTCGCTGAAGCGAGTTGCGCAGAGATACTTGAGGTTCGTGTGCCTCCTCTGAAAGAACTACTGTCCTCTCCTTTAAAACATATGCGGCCATTCTTAAGCGAAAGAGTAATAACAGGCTCGATAGTACAAGTGGCTCTGGCTGATAATGGGTGAAGATGTAGAATGAAGGCTGCTTTATTCCTGATGAGAGTTTTCCGAGAGGAGATGGGTACAAAGTACACAAACCTACCCGAGCGATGCTTCTGGGTTTTTTTATGTATGTATTTTCTGTTAGAGACCTGTCGAGCAAGGTTTGATAGCTTATTGCCTTTATGGATTTTTAATAATGTAGCTGATTCTTAGCAAGAGAATGCACTTCTGTTTTTCTTCATTTTGACATAACTTGTTTAAGGCCTCTGTATAATCGGTTGGCTGGCAGTGTTTACTTGTAGCAGGTATTATCCACATATATTTTACGTTTAGTTGCTCCGTGTGTCAATGTGTAAATATATATTGTCCTGGCTAAGAGGCTGTTTGTATTTCTGTGAAGTGTTGGCATTCACCGTGAGATCAGCAGGGGCATAAAAAAACATCTGCAAGGGTTTCCCTCGTACCAAGATATTAAACTCAGGCTGATGTAGTAAAATGTCCTGCGTTCATGTTACATCCCCGCGGGCACAGACACGCGTGTGCCTGTGCGGGTGGCTTTTGGGGAGAAATTAAGTGCCTGGTTCAGCTCGCTGGGGAAAATCAGTGATTTTCAAGATAGCTCATAGCACGTTGAAAATGTGCTAACTTTGGGCAATAAATAATCCGCATTTAGGGGTTACTTCGACAAAACAGGTTTCACGGTTGAATTTAATCCCCCTCCATTTAGGAAGGGGCTTCGCCTGCGTGAAATAAACGCGTTAATGTCTTGAAAGGTTTGTCCCAGTCTGTCAGGGCTGGGACGGAATTCTCGGTCAGCCGACTTGTGTGACCTCGGTCACTGCTGGGTTGTTGGTTTTTTTTTTTTTTTTTTGGTTTAGATATTTATAAATTATAAGGTAGTGACTTGAACAAATAAAACACAGAACCGTGAAAGCTGTCCATGTGTAAGTACCTAAAGGGACTCCAGAGCCGCCGGCTTCAGGGCGCTGGGTTCTTCAGAGAGGCGTGTAGAAACTCCGTCTGTGCCTTTTCTGGGAAAAGCAAAACCTCGGTATCAGTTTAAAAGGAAGAAGCAGAGGGTCAGGGACCCTGGAAGCGACATTTAAACCGCAGTACAATGCAGCGGGGGTCTTGCTTTCCCGCACGGTGCTGGGAACAGCTTTGGGGAGCTGGTCTGGCTTGGTGCTTCTGGAACTTTGCTTTTCTTTGTGCTGGCCGGCTATGGTTTGATGTTGGGGAGTTTCATCTGCTGTTCACTCAAGGGTTCTCCTGCAGCAGCAAGAGAAGTTTCCTGGTCGGGGTCGCTCGTTGGCGCTGTGCACACTTCTGACGAATGTTGTACCCCTGTCCTGGTCAGTTTTGCTGACGTTCAAAGCTTTTAGAAACCTCACTGTGTTGCCACTTTTTTTTTTCCCTTTTTTTTTTTTTTTTTCTTCTCCCGCCGCCTAACACTGAAGTTTGCGAGTGCCTGCTCGCATGTTGAGCACTCGGTGCTGCGGTGAGAGGTGGCTCGCAAGCTCTGCCTCGGGAGGAGAGGGGACCAAGGGCAGGAGTTGGTGTGCTGGAAGCACTGACCTGGGGAAATTAATAGCTTGGAGTGGAGCAACGTTGTTACATTACATTTTTCAGGGTCTGGTTGACAGAAAATAATTTACTCTACAATTGACGTGGCTGACAGGGATTTTTCCCTGTGTGTGCTTTTCCCTTTATCTGTTATTCCCTCTCATTTTAAACAGTGTGTATGCATCCAGCGTTGGTGCCAGTGCTTGCGATGGGGTTTGATGGATTTCAGACTATGAAATGACATTTGTTTTTCACTCTTGTCTCCTCATTGTGTTGACAAGGTGTTGATTTAGCTTTAGGAATGATCTGGTCACATGGTCCTTCGCATGTTGTCACTAATGTACCGTTTAAAGTCGGTTTGGGCTTTTCCCCCCTTCTCTGTGTGCTTTATTGCTGAAAAGGGGGGTTACTTGAGTATCCGGAGACTTGTTTTCTCCCGTCCAAGCACCTTACTCTGGTGATGCAAATCTCTTTACACCTTTTACAAAACTTTGCACCGCGCTTTCCTCGTCCGCGGGATGATTTTTAAACAAGCGTCAAAAGGTGGGAGAAGGAAAGAAAGAGAGAAAAAGAGTTGGGGGTGAGAGAAAGGTAGGAAGGAGAAAAGTGAGGAAAACAGAGAAGGAGGGAGCGGGGATGCCGGGGCGGTGGAGCGGGAGCTGGGGCTCGGCACCCCACTGGCGGTGCAGGGGGCTCGGTCCCCGGGAGCGCGGCGCGGTTCTGCTCGCCGGAGGGAGGGAGCGGAGGGGGAGAGGAGCTATCTCAGACCAGCTCCTCGCACCGAGTCGACGTGGAGAGAGGCCCCTGAGAGGATCCGAAATGGCCGAGGCTCGGGAGGAGCCTCTGGCACTCGCCTCCGCCAGGCTGAGACCCCAAAGCCCGGGGCCGCCCCCGCCGGCCGGGCTGCCCCGCACCGCGCCCGGGCACCCTCCGGGCTGTGCCACCCGACCCCGCCCGGACCGCTCCCGCCCTCCCCCTCCCCTCCCTTCGCGGCCGGGCTCCCAGACCCCCGCGGGCTCCTTGGCTCCTCCACCCCCACCGCCAGCCCCCGGGCCCCGCGTCGGGACCGGCCCTCGCCCGCCGCCCGGCCCCGCGCCGCCGCCGCCTTCGTCTTCCGCGCTTGGTCTTCCTCTGCGCCGGGGGATGCGATGCGATGCACGGGGGAAGGGGATGCGCCGGACCGCGGCACCTGGGACGCCGCCGCGCTTGTCCCCGCTGACCGGTCCTCTGTGTGTGTGTGTGTGTCTTTCAGAGCCTCTCCTCGCCACGCCAAAATGCACCGAACAACCAGAATCAAAATAACCGAGCTAAACCCCCATCTCATGTGCGTGCTCTGCGGCGGGTACTTCATTGATGCAACAACCATCATAGAGTGTCTCCACTCCTGTAAGTACGACCGGGCGCTCCGCGTTTTTCCCCCGCCGCTTCCCTGCCTTCCCGGCATCCCGGGAACACACACACAAAAAAAAAAAATCCTCCCAAGCCCAAACCCCCCGAGGGGCTCGGGACCGACGCCCTCCTCCTCCCCGACTAGAGGGGAAGTAGGTGTTCCAGCCGCGGTGCAGATTTTCTGAGGACGACCCTACGGTCTTTGTTAAAGTAATAATATATGTGCTATAAGCGTCTCCTTTTCATGGTAATTGCAGCTTATTTGGGTAGTTGTTTAGCTTAAGCAGCGTGTTGCTGACAATGGACGATTTGCTCTAGCTTGCATAGTTTAGAAAATCGCACCTTTATCTATGCATATCTGAGCGGCACCTAGGAGCATCACTAAAAGCCTGTGGTGTTTGACTTACAGTTTGTAAGACCTGTATCGTGCGTTACTTGGAGACCAGCAAGTATTGTCCTATCTGTGATGTCCAAGTTCACAAAACTCGACCGCTTTTGAATATAAGGTAGGAGAAAGTTGGGAAGTGCGCACTGCATCTCTTTTTTTGCTTTATATGGGGAGACAGCAGTAGTCGGTGTCAATGTTATCTCTTCGTCTGCAATTTAAATCTGAAAGGGCTTGTCAATTTACAAGCTACCTCGTGTGTATGTGGTCTCTTTGGAGTTTCTTCACTGATTGAAACTGAAGATGCCTCTAGATGTTTTTGTTGGCCTATTTTAGCATAGACCAGTCATTGCCTCTTCCCTCTCCCGCATTCTGCTGTACCACCCGATATTTCTTGCCTCTACTTTCTCTGTCCCCAAGACATGCATCACTCCAACCACAGCTCCTAGTCATGAAAACTCCTGTTGCAACTTTCCAAACTAAGAGGCAAAAGCCTTTAAAATATCATTTGCCTTTCAGAAACATTTTTGTTGTCAGCGCTGCGTTTTGCTCTCTGTGCTTTCTAGGAAGGACATGAAGATTTAAGGCCTTCCTTCAGTCTGAGAGACTTCTTTTTCAGTTGTGGTAACATGGATGAGTTTTGGCTCAGAGTGGTATTTAGAGCAGGGTTAGTTTGATTACAAGGTCCTGTAAGTTAACTTTTTATGACTGGCCTCCCACTTTGTAGAAGACGGCTCGTTGTTGTGAAAGTTTATAAGTGAGGAGCTGCCGTTTGGGTTAAAATATTGCTTCATCTGCTTAATTTTATGTTGTGGGGTTGTTCTTTTTTCAGGTCAGATAAAACTCTCCAGGATATTGTATACAAGCTAGTACCAGGCCTTTTCAAAAGTAAGTAGTTAAATCAGGTATTTTATTAAGAGCAGAAAAACAAAACCAGAGCTGCTATCCTTTATCAGTACCGTGAGTTACAGAGTAACTACTAAAAGAAAAATATATGCTTTTCCATCTAGATGAAATGAAAAGAAGAAGGGATTTTTATGCTGCTCATCCGTCGGCTGATGGTAAAAGCTTCTCGTTCACAACTTTAATGTGTGTGGCATTGAGCTAGATGTTTTACTGTTTCCTTTTTAACTTACAAGTGATGTATTACCGTCACAGAATTTTAAGAAGTCAGCATAATAAAAGTTTATTGTTTTAACAGTCAGGTAGCTTTCATTCATTATCTTACTGTGAAGATTTTTTTTTTCTCGTTAGTGAGAATTGCAATTCTTCCTGATTTGAATTTCAAAATGTAAATTATTGTGGAAATTTCTGTGCAGCTGCCAATGGCTCTAATGAAGACAGGGGAGAAGTGGCTGATGAAGACAAAAGAATTATAACAGACGACGAGATAATAAGCTTATCCATTGAATTCTTTGACCAGAATAGGCAAGTTCTGGAATGGCAAAATTTTATGTTTACCTATTTGATAGCACCTGTATTTATTTTTTGTTGTAATTGTGCAATTTCTTCTCACAGACTGGAGCGAAAAGGAAATAAGGAAAAAGAAAAATCAAAGGAAGAGGTAAATAACTTTCCTTTGCTCCAGGGGAAACATATCACACACACACACACAACTTTGGAGCGGGTCTGTAGCTGAGAAAAATACATAGGTATTTGTGTCTAGAATAAAGGAAGCACACCTCCTGTCATGGCGCTAGGTGCAGAAGAGGTAAAGCATTTTCATACAGCTGTATAGGCAGGCAACTTTTTAAAATTCAAAATACCCATAGTATTATTTTTAAAGCAGAATCTGATTTTTCGTCAAAATTTGGGAAAATATATTTAGTAATTTATTAAAAAATAATATGTATTGCATATGTACCCTGAAAAGATATTAAATATAATACAAATATTTGCATATGAATTTAGTTACAATTTTAAATTACATTCTCTAGAACTGTAATTTGCCACTTATTTCTGATGTGCCCTCCAAGACAGCAGGCATTGTTGCATTACAGTTCATAATTTAGTAAGGTGCACTTTTTTCAGCATGAAATACAACGTTGGTGGGAGTAATTGTGCATTCTCAGTAGACTGATTTTCTTTACTATGCCACTAGGTGAATGACAAAAGATACTTGCGCTGCCCAGCAGCAATGACAGTGATGCATCTAAGAAAGTTCCTGCGGAGTAAGATGGATATACCTAACACTTTCCAGGTACCCATGGGGAAAGAGGGATTTGTTTGCTTGTTTGGGGTTTTTGGGGGTTGTTTTTGGTAGGACTCATTTTCTCATTACAGCCGGTCCCAGCAAGTGGAAACAGCCAAGTATTTCTGGTGTGTGCCATATATTATTTGGTTTATTTTTAAAAATCTGTCTGTAGAGTTTGGTGACATATTTTTTTTTAGTGCTGTAAATACCAAAGTATCAAGAAATTGCTGCTTGTTGTATTTGTGATATATGTGACAGTGGGGCTACTTTTACCTTAGGGCAGTCATGTGCTAGGGGTAAGTGCCTGGATGCTCCTTAATGCAAGGGTTCATATCTTGAACAGATCGATGTGATGTATGAAGAGGAGCCTCTGAAGGACTACTACACCCTAATGGATATTGCCTACATCTACACCTGGAGGCGGGTGAGTGTTTCCAGCGTGCCTCCCGGGAGGGTGCAGGTCATGGCCTGGGCAGGGCACTTACCAGGGTCTCCCTTTTGCTTTGCAGAATGGGCCTCTGCCCTTGAAATACCGGGTCCGACCTACTTGCAAGAGGATGAAGATCAGTCACCAGAGGGAAGGCTTGAATAATAGTGGGGAGCTGGAAAGTGACTCTGGGAGCGACAAGGCAAGCAGCCCAGCGGGAGGCATCCCCTCCACCTCCTCCTGTTTGCCCAGCCCCAGCACGCCAGTCCAGTCTCCTCACCCCCAGTTCCCCCACATCTCCAGCACCATGAATGGCACCAGCAGCAGCCCCAGCAGTAACCACCAGTCCTCCTTTACCAACAGAGCTCGGAAAACATCAATAAATGGCTCCTCAGCCACTTCATCTGGTTGATGTGCCAACCAGGCTACCACCCTCGCCCCTCCTTTATATAGATCTCTCCATGCCATTACAGCTTTATAGATGCTAATCCATGTGACTATCATCCAAATTGCTTTCTTTTGTAGTAACACTGAACTTGGCTATAAAAGGCGGACTAGGTGACATTCAGGATGGACGTTATTGGAAACGCAAGATTGAAATGTAAATTTTTCAGAGGACTGGGAAACAAACGAAAGTTACACCTTCACCTGTTCTGAATGATGTGGAGTTGTTTCTGTCCCCATCATCTGGAGCCAGGAGTCTCCAGAAGTCAATACAAATCCTGGGAAGTAGTTTGTTAATCCAGACTAACTCCTCCATTGCGTTCTCTTCGATTGTTATTGTTCTTATACTGTTTTGTGAACCTGTAGAAAGCAAGTGCTTTTTCATCTTGAAATCCAACAAAATTGAAAGAATATGCATAGAAAAATGCATATATGTAGCCATGTCACTGTGAATAACAATTTTTGCGTATTAGCCATTTTGATTCTTATGTTGCATCTTTTACTTCTCTGTTGCTGCGCAGAACCGATCAAAAGAAAACTTCAGTTTTACAATCTGTATGCCTAAAAGCGGGTATTACCGTTTTATTTACTGACTTGTTTAAATGATTCGCTTTTGTAAGAATCAGATGGCATTATGCTTATTGTACAATGCCATATTGGTATATGACATAACAGGAAACAGTATTGTATGATATATTTATAAATACTATAAAGAAAATATTGTGTTTCATGCACTCATGATATGGTTGTTAAATTTCTAAACAGGTTCGACCCTTGCAGATGCCGCCTGTTTGAGCTTTGCTCATACTGCAAGAAACACGTTGTGTGTGAGAGCTACAGTATTGGGGAAGCACATTCAAGTCTCTGATAACCTGGAGGCAATTGGCAATCTTAAAAGAATTTTTCCTTGCTTTGTCTTTTTTTTCCAAGTGGAATATTTTTACTTTACCAAATGTTGAAGTGATACAGTGAAAAAAAGAAATCAAGGGACGTGGAAGTTTTGGACCTGTTTGATTACCTTTTTATTATTTGGTGTGGTGGGACTGTGTTTCTAAAAGCACACGGAATCATTATAGAAGCCATAAACTGTTTGATATAAATTTTAAGGAACCAGCAAGTGGCTGGATGAAGGCATTTTATCTAAATTTGTTTTAATATATATGTATATGGTACAGTACTAACTTCATTAAAATTTAACTGGTACTTTAATATTTCAAATAAATTGTGGAGAATGCCTTCTCTTTAATGGCCTGCAAGTAGGTGCATTTTATTAGAGGCTTCTATGGGTGGGGTTTTTTCAATAGGAGGAACTTTTCCACCATAAAATATGAACAGCCCAGAACACTTTTCAGTTTGTGCTTTGCTTTGGTCGAACTTTGTGTGTGTTCATCACCCATCAGTTATACATTTGTGAGGGTGTTTATTCTATATGGATATTGTTTCATGTTTGTACGGAAAAATTGTAGTTAAACATTTCATTGTCTCCAGTCTGCAAAAGAAGCACAATTCTTATTGCTTTGTCTTGCTTATAGTCATTAAATCATTACTTTTGCATATAAATTGCTGTTACTTGTCCTGCTTGTTTTTATAGACCAGGTGATTGCAAATCCTCCACAAGGTTATTGCTTATTGATGTATATGTCTTGTTAAACAAGAGTTGATATTTTTTCCTGTAGTAAACATGTACAGTTCAATTTCAACAGTAAAAACTTCAGTTTTATATACACGAATAACTTTCATTTATAGCTGATCAAAGAAATAAACAAATAAAAGGGATAATTCATTGAAAAGTAGCAAATTACCTCTGTTGATAATGTGGTGTTAAAGGACAAACATCTTGTTCTCATGGGAAGTATTTCTGGGTGTACCAAAGATTTTAGTGAACAGTTCAGTATAGCACACTAAAATAACAGAGGGAGGAAAAAAAACCCTAGAAATTGTAGTGATTTGTTTTGGTTGCCTGTCTTGAAAACATTTGCTGCTCTTTATTTCACCCCGATTTATTCTTGAAAAAAAGCAAATGGTTCATCCTCACATCCCAGTCAACCACAGGTTTTACCTCCTCTCTGTTCAAGCTTAGCCCCTGTTAAACTGCACTGTCCGGGAAGGGAAGAACTTGATTTTTGTGATGGCGAGTGCAATGTTCTGCCTGTGCTACCCTGGATTACTTTTAAATCCTCAGTGGAACTAAATACGTTTTAATAGTAAGATACCTCTCAATGCGACCGAATGTCTATCTTGGCACGATTCCCTCAGCTACATGAGTGAATCACACTGCACTGGTTGAATTATTTCGCCCAAAAACCAGCACTGAACCTGCAGCAGAGGCTTGCACGTTAGCACACTGATCCAAATGTGCTTAATTTTACTCGAAATAGCAGTTAATCACTACTTCTAGCATCAATGCGGAGCTAATCTCGGTCTTTGTGGAGTGCCCGTGAAGCACTCGGCAGTGAAACAGGAGTTAGATATTTCCCTTCGAGGTTTACTAAGCTCTTACGGTATTTTCGACCTCTCCCAATTTGACATCTCCTGTCTGAACAAGAACAAACGCTCTAGTAGCTCTCTTGCCGAGCTGCAAAAGCCGCCGAGGATGTTTGTGCTGCCATGTGAAACTTTTGTTTTGCTGCTGGCCCTGCGCAGATGGCACTGCGATGCTTATATACTGCTAAGCACAACTGGGAGGACGATCAAAGATAGCATCTTGGTGTTCTACTTGTGAAGCTGCTATGTCAGCTTTCCCGGTTTCACAATATTTTCCTTTGCATATACATAGTGACAGGTTTTCCTTTCACATGTACCTAAGTTCTCCCTGAAAGGAAAAAAATCTCCGCTCGGTACATGTAAGAGGAATATTTTCATTATCCAACGTTGCGTTTATATAGATGGAGGGATAAAGGCGAAGTCTACTGCGTTTTCCTGAGCTTGTCCAACAAGCAGTCTGGTCAAGGATAGAGGCAGGAGTGGTCTGTGCCGGCTGGAAAAGGATGTTTTTCTGCCTTCATCCGACCAAATTTTCCGCCCTGGTTCAGCTGCCTGCAGCTCCAAGCAGCGCTTTTGTGTCCGGCACGAATGGGGATCCAGCCCCGGGGAAAGCAACAGAGAGGAAGCATGAAAAGCTTCTGGAGAAGACGGACAGAAACAGGGAGACGGAATGCAGAAATGTGCCGGGAGAGGAGCATGACGAGCTTTCTGAGCCGAGATGGTTGTCCCCCGGCACTGACCATTTCTCCCAACTACCTGCGCCCATGACTTCCAGAAAACCGACGCTGGCGGGCGGGTACCGCCGACAGATTTCCGACACCGGCAGCGTCCCGTGGGCAGGAGAGGGAAGCGGCGGGCGGCGCCGGTGACCCGGGCAGCACCGGGGGAGCTCCAGGAAACGCCGTGAGAAAGCGATGGTCCCCCATTTTTGAATGATGAGGGGGCATAGAAACCCGACGGCGGAGGCAGCGGCAGCGGCGGGCGCCCTTCCCGAGCAGGCGATGCCTTTGGTCCTCTGGCCGCGGCCGCCGGGCCGCCGCCGTCTCCTCCGGCGCCGCACCGCTGCCCCAGGAGTCGCTGGGGATTTTCAAAGTGCGCCCAAAGCAAGTCTTCCCATGGCCGGTACCGGGGCGAACTCTCCTTCCTTCCGCCTCCGCCAACCCTGCGCCTTTTTTCTTCGCCGCGGTCCCGAACCGCGGGTTCCTCAGCCGCGGCGGCAGACTACTCCTGCCTTCCAAACATCACTTTTGGACTGTTCATCTCTCACCACGCAGGAACTCCTGCAGTTCCGATCTTTGCCACCAAACTGGCTGCCGAGGATCGGGTTGTCTCGTCGTGCCGGGCTCCGATTTCTGGCCCCGGAGCGGGCGGTCGGCGGCGGCCCCCGCCGCAGGCACCGCAGCGGCAGGAGGGTTGCGGCGGCCCCGCCGAGCACCTCGCGCCCTCCCAATTTTAAAACGGTGAAATTCTGAGACAATGTTTACTCAGATAAGTGTTTCCTGTTTCCGCTGTTAATTTTTAACGTTCTTGCTCCTACTCTGGGTACTTGAAACGGATTTCCTTTATTTTACTATAAACAGTTTATTTTTCATCTTTTGTGCCCGTCTCTTACCCTGAGGACGCCTAGAGAAGAGCCTGCCCTCACCTCCCGAGGGCTGTGGATCTCCGCTTTCTGCAGCTCAATGTCTTTGCCCCGTTCCGGGAGCTCCGACCCACGGTTGATTTGTGTTTTATTAACTCGAGGATGGCAAGGATTCTGGCAGCGAGGATTTTTTCCAACTCCGGCTCCTTCACTCGCTTTCCCCGCGACCAACAGAGGAGTCCCGCCAGAAGAACAGAAACACTTGTAAAGCCCGGTGTGGACCAGGCAATTCTCGGTGTCGCCGTCTTTGGGGATGGGATATTTCTATTTATTTAACAGTGATGATGTGGGTTAAAGAGAAAAAAAAAATCAATGTCAGTAACGGGTAGAGCACGAAGGACACGTAATACCCAGGCAAAGGAGGTTTTCCTGCCGGGGTTGGGCAGGGAGAGGGACTTCAATCCCCGCTCGCTGCCGCGAAGCCGCGGCCGCGACGGGCAAGGCAGCGGCAGTCACGGAAAGGCCGCGAGCGGCGGCGCCGGAGGCGGGCGCTGCCCCAGGGGTGCGAGGAGCCCGCGGGCCTCCCCGCCGCCGGGCGAGCGGCCGCTGCCCGCCCCGGGAGCCCAGCCGGGAGCCGCGGTTCTGCTGCGTTTCTTTTCGCGTCGCCTCCGCCGGCGGCAACGCGGCTTCTCGGGCCGGCGAGGAAACGTGGCGCCCGGCGCCGCCCCATCGGCCTCCGCCGGCAGCCTCGGCGGGTGCGCCGTCGTGCCTTTGGCGGCTCTCGGGCCGTGCCGGGTCCGGCCGGGGTGCGGCGGGCACGCCTGGCAGGCAGCACCCCCGGCCGCAGCCGCCCTCCGCTGAGGTGTAGCGGTGCCGCCGCAGGCTCCACACCGTCCTGCCTCCAGTCTGCCTTCCCCGCCTCCTGGCCTTTAGGGTGCTCCAGCCAGCCCGGGCATTTAGGGATGTGCGCAGCGGGACCGGAGCATTCCGGGTTTTCCAGCTGCGGAGCGCCGTTGTCCTGTATCCCGTCCGCCCTGCCGCAAGCACACGGCCTCCCGCTGAGGCTGGCCGGCACCAGCCCTTCCCGGGGCACCGTGGGGCCTCGGGGCGAGCCCACCTCCCCGAGGGATAGGAGGGCGTCGCGGTAGCCATTTGGCGTATCTATTTCCATGGCCCGCAGCTGAATATCGCACCTCGGCTAGAGAGACAAAGGGCTGTGTATGTTCCTATCGCCGGGAACAGGCAGATGCCTTCCCCGTTCCGAACGCCGATGTTCTCAAGGGTGTGGAGGGGGCACATTTTCCGGGAGCGGCCGGGTGAGAACTCCGCCGTGGCAGGGAGGCACTTTCCAGCAGCAGAGGCAGCCGGCAGCCCTTCCCCCTTAGCGCCCGCCGCCGGGCTCCGCGTCCCCGCTGCCTCGGCCGCCGCATCCCCGCTGGAGGAGGCCGAGGCCGGGAGGAGCCGCCTTACATCCTGGGGCCTCCGCTGAACGCAGAGATTACAGGCACTGCTGCCAGCGGTGACATTTCTTACTCCTCCTTCTCCATGTGCTGGGAATGCTCGGGAGTTGCCTTCTCAACGAGGCATTTTCTAATCTGTGAGAAAACATCGTGCAGCTGATGGAGGCCTCCAAGGTGGACTGAGTCTATAAAAAAAGAACCCAACCCAAAACCAAACCAAACCAAAACGTTCCTCCAAAACTCAAACCCAAAAATAATTACAAAAAATAAATTAAAAAAAAAAAAACCAAAAAAACCCCAAAAAAAACCAAAAAAAAAAAACCAAAAAAACCCCAAAAAAAACCGAAAAAAAAAAACCCAAAAAACCCCCAACCCCCAAAAACAAAAAACACCTTAACAAAATAACAAAATCTCCACACTCCACCAAAGAACCCTCAAAAAACTCCACGTACACAATCACAAAAGTTTTAAGGGGA